GTGTGGAACCTCGGGCAGACTACTTAAATAGGCAACCAAAAGTTGCAGGTATGGCTAGTCGTACTCTTACTTGTAAAAAAAAGTCAGAGAGCTTAAATAGGTAATCTCCTAGTTAAATTGCAGACATGGCGGCTAGTATAGAACTCAGGCGGACTACTTAAAATAGACAACCAAAAGTTGTAGTGTAGCTAGTTGTACCCTCATCATAATTGTAAACGTTGTTAATTATTTAATAAAAAGCCCGGCTATAGAGATCATCTTAACTCTGAAAAAAAAAAAGTTATTAGATGAAGCGATTTGGAAAACTGTAGAAGAAGAGATAAATAAGATTTTAAGTGAAATAATTTCGGGCAGAGAATCTTCGGACGAAGAAAATGAAACTCTGAAAAATAAGTCAAATGAAGTTGGTAAAGAATTGGAAAAAATTTTTAAGCAAACAAAAAAAGAAATTCTTAATAAAATATTAGAAAACATTTCTAGCAAATTTAAAAAGAGAATTTCTTTCAAAAATAAAGAAAAAATTAGAAGTAAAGTTTGTTTGTCCGAATTTGCAAAACTTTTAGAACAAATAGACAAAATTTCTGGCGTGCTAAAAAAAATTCCTAATATAGATAAATTTTATAAGGAGATACAACATATGATAGATAAGCTTTCTGATGAAATACAACATAATTTTAATAAAGTAGTCACAAAATTTTCTAAACAAATAAAAAAAAATACTTATTAGCAATTTAATAGAAATTTCTATCAAAATACAAGATGAAATTGCTGGTGAAATGAAAAAGGAGGCTTCTGACCAAGAAAAAGTTTCTCAAAACAAACAAGTAAAAATAGAAAAGATTTTAAAAACAAACAAGTAAAAATAGAAGAAGTACCTCTGAAAATATTGACTGAAACTTTTAAAAGTTTGTTAAAGAATGATACAAATGTGGCTAATACAGCAAAGAGCATATTTGTTCTTTTAGCAATAGTTAACAGTGAATCCTTGCTAATTTTAGATACCACAACAAAAAATATTATTATTGATGAAAAGCATAAAAGATGTATATACATCGAATCATTAGTAGGAGTGGTTAAAAGTTTTGCACTTATTATTAATATAGTCTGTACATTTATAAGTTTTTATTCTATTTGTTTAACATTACAATTTTAACTTAATTAATTATTTACATCAGCAAATTTAATAGTGCGTAATATTGCGCAATAAATTACGCAACGTAAAAAAGCCGTAATATTACGCGATAT